GAGAGGCTCAGAACTCCCATCTTCACTGAGGTTCTTGTAAATGCTCTCTAGCCCCATCTCGCTGGCTTCAAAGGCTTTGTGGACACTCTCAGATGGCTCAGCGTTGAAATCTCCACTCAGAATCTGGTAAGCCACGTACGTGCTACCTCTTTTTTGTCACCTCTAACACAGGGCAAGTACTACTGACCGCGGAAAACTCCATTTTTCCGTACGTCTCTTCACGTCGATATGGAAAGTGGGGTGAAAGTCCGAAATTTCAACAAGGGAAGCTTCACAAGTTGTGGAACTTATTCTATTATTACTGGAAGTAAAAACATTTTTCGTAAAGCAGTCGCGCAACAAAAATATTGGCGAGTGTTCTGCCTGTGGGGATATCACATAGTGCTTTCCTCTCAGATATTTTCTCCATGATATTAATTGCTACTTTGAAAGCTTCATCTATTTGAGATGGAACACCACTGACTTGGCATGATATTTGTTTCAAAACACAGCAACAGCTACGTGTTACATCAATGAAAACAACAGGTTAAGGGAGATTTTATTTATACACACACGTACATTTTCTTGAACATACTCGTGAGGTTCTTCTCGGTGCGAATCATATCGTAAACCTTTGGGTCCACTTTTGTTTCTTTAAAATGTTGAGAGCATGTCAGTTACGTGATGCCACTCATGCGGTTCAAACTGCGCGCTCAGCTCTGAATGTAGCCGTCCGCGTCTATCCAATTATAGGCCTGGAATTTTGGGCTTGTTGTGAAAGAAGTAGGCCTGCCCCTAACTGGAAACTACCAGTCCCAAATTCGGGATTTATAGAAATATTTCTATGATCCCTCCTGATCATGGCATGTCTTATTGTAAACACCCCGTGGGATCACAAAATATTAATGAGCTCGCACGCAGAAATAGGGGGCCTACAACCATTTGGTGGAATGCACCCTCTAGACAGCCAAGTCACAGGTGTACTTTTTTTAATGTATACGTAAACATATGCGACGAGCGTGTAAAGACCCCTTGCTGCTGGGGGGAGGGGGGTTAAGAGGTCTCAGTACAGCTTGCCATCGATTAGAGTCATTGCAGTTGAGGATCATGACTTATCGACACTGTCACGACTGTTGTTGAACGCAGCGTTCTTCTACACGGTTGGTCGCGGGGTATTCTGCAACTAGTCTTGGGTGATAAAGAGTGAACTGACGTTGACAAATCAGAATCAGTATTGAGTTACAAATGACTGAGAGAGAGCAAAGTGTTGAGGGTTTTCACCACTTTCGGAGCCGAATCTACGCCCATCCTTCAGGTGGGGAGGAACTGGTTCAAGTTTATGATGACTGGGCGGACCACTTCAAGGAGGTAGGCCTGAACCTTTTATGATATTCTTGCATCAAGCAATTCGATACCAAGCAAGCTATGCATTTTGTGTATGAACCCATGAGCAAGTGGCCCTTGTCAAAAGTTATGTTGTAAAAAAACATGCTCAACACGGCAGATGTGGATCCATATACACACAAATTTTCAAAAGTTTGTAAGAAGAGCTCACTGGCAGGAATGTGATTGGTAAATTCGGGATGAATGAACTTCAAGTCTTTATTCCGAATGGCCAATAGTACATTTCACTATCTTAGTCCATATCAGAAACGGGGATTCGTGCAAGGTATCCCCCTGATGTTCTTTTTCTTACAAGCATTATTTCGTTTTTTTGTGAATAACTTCAGTCCAAATCATGGGCGGAAATCGAGGCGGAATGGGGGTATATATCCCCACTTGGGGTGCCGGGCAGTTGAATCATCCCCAGTTTTTGTTGTGAGCAAAGAAATTAAAGCAGACTGCATAGAATGTTTTGGACTCCCAAAGACTGAAATGTTCTGAATGTCACTCAAAATTTTTTTAAGCCATAAATATGCCATCCCGACAAAAGATTCGGCATAAATGTTATACATATTACAAAATAATGTACACATGAATATCGCCCCCTACATGGTCTATAGTGCACCCCTGGTTTTCAAACTGCCATGGCCGGGCAATCATCCCCGAATGTTTTTCCCTCTCCTGTCCCCCCAATTTCCGGCACATATTTTATGCCTTTAGTCCAAATCATCAATGCTAAATGGTATGAAAAAAGGGTTGCTTTGATTACAGATTAGAGTATTTTAAAGGGTAGTGCTGATTACGCATAAAACAAACTGCTTCTTTGTCAACTAATCCCATGATGAACTGTGAACAGGATTATTGACAAATATTTAACGGTGCATAGGAATTTTCACGCCAATTGTTTGTTGAGCTGTGAGTAAAGACAGCTGTCTCAAGCCTTGTACTTGTATTAATTAATCATGTTTATATGAATATCGGCCAAATGCTGTAAGGGAAAAGGTGAAGGGCCTTCAGAGTATTTCAGAAATATGTGCACTTGTTGTTTCCGTCTCGGTACTTCACTCCATGGTTCATCACTTCTGTGCTCAAAACTATCACACAATTCATTTTAAAGCCAGGACTTCACGCCCCCGAGTCTTGGCCCATTATTGTTGAAAAAACTATGCTCAACTCCTTTTGACGTTCTCTGACCAACGTTTTGGAAATCTGCCGGAAATGTGGTGGCCGTTTTATATAAATAAGGGTCTCACAATGGCGGCTTTCCAGTCATTTGAAGGAAAATATAGGACGGAGAGAACTCCCCCCCCCACCTTTGTGTTGGTCATTGTTTGATCGGAGTCTCAGGAATCCTTTTACAGACTTCTAAGGGGATGTGTTAGGTAACAACAGTCTACAGTGTGTATAGGGATTCGACAGGTGGGGGGGGTACCCCTCCGTCCCATATCTTGCCTGGTATATTTCCAGTAGTAGTGGTCTGCATCTAGGGTATCACTGCGCGAGCGTTACGTACGTAATTGGTGTGCTTGAATACCACACTTTACTAACAGCTGAATTCTGCACGTAGTGCATACGCTTGTGACCATTAATTGCCCGGCTGACAATTTTGTTATCGCTAACTGGTTCACTAAACGTCCAGGGGAGAACTACAGAAACAGATAAGTGAGTCGTCAGAGGGCATATGCTCTAATCATTATTAAGCATTATCGTCTTGGGACTAAGACTAACATTAACCTTGATAAGATACAAATGGAACAGGAATAACACGAACAAAATTTTGCTGCACACTTCGGGAACAGAGACAACCTTGTTTTCAACTTGACCCTAAGTCCAAAATGACATAGCCATGGATACAGGTACATTATATACAAGTTGTGAGATCGAGAGTACTAGCGGCATAGCTGCTACGTTTTCCTCACCTGGTTTGTCATTTTCTGCCAGCAAAAATCCTGTCAATGATCGTGTCCTATTTTTCACCTTGTCAGCAAAATCTCAGTGTGGGTTACTGTAGTCCTGCTAATCTCTCTGCCCTTGTGTCTGACGTCATAAGAGATAAATCGGCCAAGATCCTGGATGCAGCGTCTGGAGTAGGAATGGTTGGAGAAGAGGTTAGATACTCTGAATTGGTAGGACTTCCATTTGGATAAGTGGACCAGTGGAACAGTGTTGAAAGTGGAGGGGAGGGAGAAAGCCTGAACAGGGGCACATTCAAGATTGTTTGTGGGGGTGGTAAATTTGGGTACCTCAAGTGGCTCAGGAAAGGTGAGAGGGAAAACAACTTCCATTTCACATCCCCCTCCCTGGCCACGCCCAGTGGTGATTTGGATCCCTAAATGTCACCAACATTAAATCCAACACCTGGAGCCACCAACATGTGGCAAAGTACATTTTCACGTGACCTATTTTCAAGTGCATTGCTGGCACGTGTATGAAGTTCGCATTAGGTTCTCAGCACGGTTAAACTTAAAGTGAGTCCTGGATATACCAAAATGTAAAGCCAGGTTTCCATATGGTCGTTTGTAACGCAGCGGCTCCGCAAGACGTCAGGACGCAGACAGTCGCGGAAGAGGCGTTGTGCAACGTCATTCCAGCAAAAACTTAATCAAAACGGTGCCCAAACTCGGAAAATTTTCGTTAAAAAAATGCTTTTTTTTTGCCGTGGCAACGTTGCCTCTTGAAGCCAAAGTGATACTCCAGTTTGATGTAATTTGTTAATGGTCAGCTGTTTTTTTGACAATTGGGGCTGCATTTGATAGCAATAAGGAGAAAGTGGACCAAATTAGTGGTACTCAGCGAGAGGCGCATCGTTGTACGCCCGTCATGCCAGCGTACGTGTTTGTAAAGGCCTACACAGCGACTCAACGCAGACAGTCGGCAAAGTTGAACCATGGTTGAACAGGGGTCTACTTTACCGATCTGCCTGGGGCTGATTTGTGTTTGTGGCAAAACTTCCGTTTGACATGTTTCCATATTTCTACGTTGCAGTTTGCGTCTTGATTGCGTTGCTCTCTGCGTTTCTCACGTCGATAAGGAAACCAGGCTTAAGACTTCGATACAATTGCACCATGATCTTTTTCCAAGCATTTCCAATATTGGCTGAAACAGTGCATATGCTCCCCGTCAGTTCTCTGGTGGAAACGGCATAAAAATTTTCTTGATCCAGCTACGCTTGTACCACGTCTACATAAATCTTTCTAGGATGCTTATGCGCAAAGACCACATCTATGCCATTTCTACAACGTAGGCTGTAAATATGCTGTCACTGTGATTTCAAGCCACTTTACGACCCTGTTACGTAAATTTCTCGTAGACCTATACTCAAAATTTTGGCACGACTGCCCCGTTGATGAAGACTCTAACACGATCTCAAAAAGACTGGCCACATCGTGTTGAGTGTCACGGGGGCTAAAATAAAGGTCGAGATCAACATGGTCCATACGCCAAGTCATACAGCAAAGGAGCATAACTTACACCTGTTTCGGTAAATCTCTGGAATGTTTCTCCTTCCCCTTCTTGGGGGTAGAAATTGATAGCAACAGGAAACAAAATGAGACAATACAAATAGGTGAAAGTTTAAAAAAACATTATTCTCTGACTTGACATGTTTTCTTCTTTGCTTTCAGCTCAAAGGCGTGGCTTCGTTCACATTGATGCCCTGGAACCTTCTCAAGTTTCCTTGGACAAGAGTAAGGAACATCAGTGCTACACTGAGTACATATGCGACACACTAGATGACCACCAGACGAAAATTCCGGATGGTATGGTATAGAAAACTAGCCGATTAATAAACAGGCAGATACACGTCTATAGTACGTTTCAATACGAACACTTCATCGAATCATATCCAGCAACTGTACCAGTATTAGTCGCAAAACAATGAAGTTTTAGGCTGTATGACATTCTAATAAAAAAACAGACAAACTTTGGCGTGATTTCTTTTTATGTGCTTTCTTTTTATGTGCTCAGTGTACTTTTTTTAATCAGATCACTATGATGTCGTCGTCATGAGTGGAGCTTTTGGTATTCCTGGTCATGTGACCGATGCGTGCTTCCCAGAGCTCATTCGAATTACAAAACCAGGTACAGAGTAGAAAGTTGACATCATTTCTTCAGGACAGATGAGACATGATTTTAGGGACTTGTATCTGCGAATATCAGAGTACACTTATAGTTCACCCGGTCATCATGAAAGGGCCTAACTAAAGCTTGCATCGACCGACTAAATAACAAAATAATGTGTATTTTTGATTCACTCCCTAAGGTGGTCACATCATGTTCACAATGAGCACCAAGGTAGCGGAGGAGTGGAGTGACAAGTTAGAGGGCGCAATTCAGGCACATGCCCAGCAAGGATCATGGGAAGTTGTTGATTATCGTTGGATCATATATCTTCAACATGATACTGTTAGTGAAAAAGCAAAAGTGCCGATTCTCAGGCTTCTATAAATGTCGACTACCCCCGGAAAAAAAGAGAGTATATTATATGAATTTTTTTTTTCATTCATAGAGTTTTTGAGTAAATTTAAAAGTATGTTTAGATGGTTCAAGAAATGATAGACTTGATAGCAATGTATATGTACTGAATGTTGGAATGAAGTTAACTACCAGCCAGTTGCATTTTGGCTGTTCCTGCAAACAACAGCTGTGCTATGCATTTATCTTCTGTCATCATTTTGCAATGCCACCGAATTCTTTTGAAAACCGGTTTATTTTGAGATGGATTGTATACAAGGTCTTGGGTCTTTAAAAAGAAAACAAGGATAGAAGACAATATCCTGAAGGGCTAATGTTTCAGGTTGGCTACAAATTTCTCAGCAATAACAGGATATCAATGCCTTGTATTTCCACGTTATAGTGACATTCGACAAGCAGAATGAAAAGACATTAATACACTGACTCAATGTTTGTACACCGCTCATAATATTTTCCTGATCAGGACGTAATCTTTGAATTAAAAAAGGTTACTGAAAAACAAGTAGTGGTGTGTAACTGTCATTTTTTTCAAGGCATTGTTTTTTTTGGCAGATCATTCATTACTGACACCATTATAGATACTAGAATATTAGACCAATTGAATACTTAACTAGAGCTAATGTGCTTCAGGGAGCATGACATATCAGCCGTGAACAGCTTTTGGAAACATTGAAGGTGCACACAAGGTGACTACTGGCAAGTGCGGCTTCAATGTGCTAAAGAATATAAGAGTAGAGATTTTTGTGCATAAACTAATGGCTGCTGAGGTCTTTATATAACAGGGGCCTACTAGCGGAAATTACAAGGTTCGTGTAAGTCTAGCGTTTAAGCAAGGTGAACGTGGCTGGCTTGCTGGAAGACGTTGCAGTCTGTATTGCCACAGAGGCCTATGCAAATCGTGTATAGTCTGGTTCGGGGAACGGGCTTTGCACAGAATTCTCTACATATTAGAGGTACGGACCAGAATAAATTTTTCTGTCACTGCACACGTGATTATTGGGGACACCACTGCCAGAAACCACATCACCCGTCAAATCCGACTACTGTCCTGGGCAGCTGACATAAACCTCGCCACCTTACATCACAGTTACAGTCCGACAACCAAGACCACAGCGTTCCCTAAGACTCTGCAGGTCATTTACCCAGCGTTGGACGAGGCTTGAACAGAAAGCCTCCATCCTCTTCACCAAACTCTCCCTCGAAGAATACGAGCACCAACTACAAGAGGCCGAAAAACAAATGACGGACACAAGACGCTTTGCCCAAGAAGAACCTGCCGGTTTCCAAGGCAGTGACCATGCAGCACATCTGAACTCTTCAGCTACCTGACCCGGCCCCAACCAACCAAGAGCCTCAAGAGAGCATAACAAGTCAACCAAAAACAAACGGTCTTTTTCAAGACCACAACAACTTCAAAAAAATTGGCTACTCGCTACCTGCTTAATTCCGAATATAACTTGACCCAACCCAGTGGTTATATTCCTCATCCCAATCCCAAAGAAGATGGCCAAAAGGAAATTCAAAAAAGAAAACAAAGATCGCTCAGCCAACAGAAATCGAACAACTTCTCTGCTAAATGCAAATCTCTTAAAAACGAGCCAAAACCAATCAGTTGGAAGTATTAGTAGAACAATGCAAATCCTTCATAACCAACCTATCCACAATGAAACTATCACCGACCGAAAAAATCGCTCTGGGAGAAGGTCCCAACTTTATACCAATTCCTACTAAACCAAACCGCAAATCACTCCTAATGGATATAAACAACTTCAACTACAGACTCAGAATCGCATTTCTTATGCGTAACAAATGCCCAAAGAACCATCTGTTCCAAGCATGCCTCTACCTGGTATCCAAAAACCACACCCAGTACGACGCAGGAAGAATACCAGGAAGCCACCAAATTTGAACTTGCTCACATCAGGCTCAGACATTGGCAAAACAACATTACCGAATAAGAACTATCTGCTATAAACCAACTTAAAAACAACCTCAATATCGTAGTTAAACCATACAACAAAGGCAGAGGCATATGCATAATGAACATATAAGACTACCAGTAATAGGGGTAGGAGAAAACGGGACCAAAACGAAAACCCTCCTATACCTACCCGACCCCTTTTTCAAAAATAAAAAACTCAAACCCGGCAAAATTGAAATAAAAACCTATACCTACCCGAAGCTTTTTTAAAAATTGAAAAAGTCGTTACATTAACACTCTTAAAACATAAAAAACACCCGGATTTTTAGGACAACGTTCAATTTTGCCGTCCCGGTTTTCGGATCACTAAAAAGGGGTTTGGTAGGTATAGGAAGGTTTTCGTTTTTTTCCTGTTTTCTTCTACCCCTACTACTACTACCGTCACTAAAACGAATGATTATTTGACACTCGCAGGAGCGTTTTAAACAAAAATTGAATGATTATTTGACACTTGCAGGAGCGTTTTAAACAAAAATTGAATGATTATTTGACACTCGCAGGAGCGTTTGCCGGATACGAAACGAAATCGGAAAACGGCAGATCAATTATCGGTCAACAGAAAATTATAAAAAAAATTTCCAAAATTCCCAAAATTCTCTAAAAGTCAAATGGATCCAAATTTGAATACGCTAAATTAGTCCCGACTCACGCAGTGTGGTTAACCGTAAACGGTTACGAAACGAAACGCGATTTAATTGAGCAAGCGAAGCTGGACGTGCAAAACCAAAAGCATAAACCAAAGGAAATATTTATCCCTAATGATTTACTTGCCGCTTAAAATTGAAAAAAATATTAAATGTAGTTATTAGAAATAAACATGTCAAATCAAAAAACCAACGTTAATTGTTTCTTTTGCAAGGACACGGTCGAATCTGTTAATTTGGTAGATGGGGTCGATTGTACACACTGTTTAAATTCTTATGGTTTATTCGAATGTATTGATTGCAACGAATGCCACGACTGCGACAAATGTCACGATTGCAGCAAATGTACCCAGTGCTCGACGTGCGACGAATGCGGTGATTGTATAAATTGCGTATTTTGTTTTAATTCATACGACTGTGAACATTCAAATGCCTTAAACAGTTGCGAAGCGTGTTTCGAGTGCAGCGGTTGTATAGAATGTTTTGGTTGTGTCGACTGCGTTTGCTGCTTAAATTGCGTCGAATTAGAATGAATGGATCACGTGGTGTTTGTCGATGGGCAGCACAAAAAGATAAGACACAAACGAGAGGACGATTTACCGCCTAATGCCGGACCTAAACTGGATTCTGATTTATGTGATATTGGGTTAATAATTGAATACGACGTTGACATAGAAGATTTAATTAAAGTAGATATTCCATCCGAAGATTTAATAGACTCGGCCGATTAACCCCTCCCAAGAACAATGAGAAAAATTTCCGACTGAAATACAAAATTAGAATCATGTCAACCCAAATTTACATCGTAACCGACGACCACGATCGTCTCAATGCCAACAACAGCGATCCCAATGTCGTATACGGTCCTTTTGATGCAAATAAATTCACTATATCAACCCCCGTGATAAAAGAAGGCAGTTATGTAACCAAATGCTGTTCACCAATTTATTATAGTCATGACGGCCAAGAAAAGCGCCTGTTGATTATGATAGCAGACACGACTTGTCACGGTATAAATCCTGTCTATAAATACGGCACGCGGGATAAAACTGTGTTGTCAACTACAGAAGCCCATGATGTGTACCCTGAAAGATATAAATTTGGCGGCTTAAGAGTTTATTAAAACAAAGGCCGAAACGCAGGCTGCCGTAAAGTCAAAATTACCCTCGAGTACCATTAACGCTTACAAAGCCTGTCGCCATCTACATTACTTGTACAAATCGTGCAAAGTTGCATACGTTATTAAACCGCCTTACACAGAAAAACACCGCATGTACGTTAAAATAGATTCTTACGCCTCGTTATTTGATCACAGAAAGAGGCCCATTACATTGTCAAATATTGAGAAATTTATAAATAAAAGATGTGATGCGCAATGATTTATTTATCCGAAAGACGTATATAATGGAACTCACAGTTCACTGTATTGTGGTGCCAGTGTTAGGTATACCGTATCAACCGCCCTGTTGAAAGTTAGAAATGACGACATTATTTCGAATAATTGGCATTACAAGCGTTTAGAGGATTGGACCATAAAGAATCAGAATCTGAATTAGAATCTGAATCTGAAACACCCGTGGAATTAAAGGTGAATTAAACTGATGAATTAAACTGATGAATTAAGTTGAGAATTATTTTAAGCCTCAGTTATCCCAGGGATAACTGGGGTTAATTTTACGTCCCTTAAATAAACAACTGTTTAAAAAAAATGAACGATTATTTACAATCGGGTGAATGAGAATTATCGGCCAAAAACCAACACACGTGAAAATCGAAGAAGAGGAAAACACGTGCCCACACACAAATATAATGAAAAGAAGAGAAGAATCTGATCTCGTGTGCCGAGATTGTGGGCTAATATTAACTCGCATTTATTCAGACTAAGCAGAAAAAGTCGGCGGCAAATACAACCAGCGTTTTGTCTACAAAAAGCCAAAATCTAAAACGGGTTAGTTATTTAAAGAATTAGACGTCAAATTAACTGCGGAACAAGTGGGTCTCACCGAACATAGAGTAAATCAAGTTTTAGTGGACAAAATTTCCAGAGGCAAACCGCTCCGTGCTTTAATAGCGGTCTGTTATAAAGACGTGACAAAAAAGAAACCGTAAAAGGCCTGTTTAAAATCTCTCAGAAATATTACAACGACGCCACAAATAAATCGAGACCTTTTTTTCAAAAATGCCAATTGAATTATAAATGTGAAACTATTGCCAAAACATTTGGAGTCGAATTTATTTATAATTCTGCTGACACTTCGCAAATGAACTACGAAAAATTGGGCTTGGTCATTTGCCCATGAAATAAATTAAATTTACACCACGCGATCGACGATACACCCACTGCAAAAATGTCAAGTGTGTGAAAATAATGGCGCGTATTATCGACAATCGCAGACGCGCTCGGGTGACGAGGGCATTACGACATGGTTGGTTTGCACAAATTGTGATATGCGTAAAAAATTTAAGTTTAGCTTATTATAAAACATGTTGAATCACATAGAAACGCACACTTTTTATATGTCCAAAAACCCACAGGCGATTAAGTTGAAATACGTGATAATCGACAACACGACAGGCGACAAGGCCATTTCAGTCAAAAACATTTTGTTTGAAAAAGGTTAAACGATGGAATCAGATAAACCTGCTTACATCTATTGTCCACAGTTGGATACCAACATTAATTTTACAACGGGCAGTCATTTGACTTATTACAAGTGATTTCGTCAAATAGATATTTCCGCAGTAATTTAGAAACGTCGAGAAAGCTACAACGCAGAAATACCGGCGAATTAACCTTCTATGACAGGTCCCAGACGGGAGGGCTTTTGCA